CCCCCCAGATTCTTGTGGGTATGTTACAAATGGAGCACCTGTACATTAAATATATAGCATTTAAGCTTTAAATGCCCTTAAGAAGGTAGTAACAACAGCTGTCTTCTTTGGGATAGCAACTGTTAGCAATAGGCGTAGAATGCCCTAATACAGCTTTTCTAGCTCTAACTATGCCATAATTTACAAGGAATTTCAGTAAGTTTCTGTAAGACTGAAATTACAACACTGAGTAGTACATTAAGTCCTACCTAACACCTGTTTGTATCTGAAAGTTCTCCCTAGAGAAAACTGTTGCACTAAAACCACAGCAGCTAGCTTTTTTGTTCTAGAAATTAACATTCAAGAATAACAACAACAAAAAACAGCAAAAAAAATAAACACAACCATAGACAAACAACAGACATTAACTGCAGTTTCAATACATATGTTTCCACATATATCTTGCATTATGATTGCAAAGTCATTGGGACAGATCAGTTGGTACTTTTAAGCCTGACAAACCATGCAGTTATGCTGGTAAACTGCTTTTCTTCCTAACTATAGGACACTTACTAGAACACTGTGATTCATTGTGATTTCTTGTCTACTACTCCCACTCTAGCCAGCTAAACACCACTTACACGGCACATACGCTTAGAAGGCATGCTATCATCAAGAGACTGGCCATTTTCCAAAGATCAGTATCACTTTCTGGTATTGAGAGGCTGCTGCTAGGCCCATTTGCTCAGATGAATCTAACACATCAGTCTCGGGTAGGCAGCGGTCAGAAGTCTGCCATTTCTCTGGCTGGTTCAGGGACTGGTGCATGAGCTTTCAGCAGCAGTGAGCTTTTCTCCTGCTTGCTGCAGCAACCTATGGGAGGTTCCTGTATATATATTTGGGTCCTCTCCTAGGATGAGCAGTTTAGCATTTTTGTTAGCTAAATGCTGTTCACGGATTCCTAAGCACCACTGGTATGAAGCAGAGCTGATTCTTGTTGACTTTCTGAATACCAGCTGCAAAACCTGCCTCTGCTCTTTCCAGTTTCTCCCTTCCATTTTGGACAGCAACAACTGCACCGGGCATTTTATTATACATGTAATCTTGCTAGAAAGCTGACACGCATTCAGTTTGCACTAAATGAACTAGACCAGAATTTTCTGTTAGGCTTTTAATAGAAAGTATGATCTGCACAAGCTGAAAACCGAATCTGGGAAGCTCACCAGAAGCTTATGTTTTCTGAACACTTTGGAATACAACGCTACATTTACAAAAAACACTATACAGCGTTTTTACAATGGAGATTTGCTAGCTGACTTCCAAAGTCTGAGCATGTCACAAACTCAGACAGCCTGGAAAGTTGAGTCAGCAGTTAGTAGCAATAAGCATTTGCTGAAATGTTGCGATCATGCTCACAATTATCAAGCTGCTGCTTGTTAATAATGCACCTGACTCGCTGCAAGCTCTGCCATCGCCAAAATGCAGTCTCATTGTGAGGTACATCGATCTGCTTTTCCTGTGTGAATTCAATGGTTGTCAGAACTAAGCAGGCCGATCTAAACACTGTCCAAACTATGTATGTCCAGATCCATTAAATGAAATACTGAAGAAACTACCAATTCCATTTGATAAAAGATGGTGAGACTTGGTAAACAGCAAGTTTTGAAACTGAAGTTTTCCCTTCCCATATCCATATAATTAAGTCATTACTAAAATGCTATTTCACTAAGCACTTAGTTAAAAAAAAAAACAAACCCAAACCAAAAAAACCCACACACCCTGAAATATTTCTTTCTCCTAAAAGAATAAACTTCAGCTAGGTTCTATGTAATCTCTCACTCGCCCCAGCTGAAGTTCATCTTTCAAAACCATCCAGAAAAACAGCAATATCTTTTTTCAGGAGGAAGAGAGAGTAGTTATGTTTCTCTTAGACAGGAAATATCAGTTTCACATAGAAAAAGCCTGTTCTTACCTGAAATTCATTTATGTATTGTGCCATTACAAATTCATGCCTTTCACTTGCTGAAGGCTCTGCTAATATATCAGGCAGACTTTTTGAAACTTGGCTTTTCTTCTGAGAAGCAGTGCCATTTAGGTGACAGTCAAAGCCAATGTTACCAGGCAACTGGAATCTCTGGTCCTGAGGACCAAACGGACCCATTACTTCATCTGGCCATACAGTTCTTGGACCTGCAAAAGTCAAGGACTTGCTTTAGTCACCACATCTAAAAAGAAAGGGGGTGGGGGGGAAAGGAAGGAAAAAACCCTCTCCCATACAAATACCTGTATTTGACCGCAATCATATATAACCAAAGTAACCACAGCGCACAAGTAAAAGTAAGGGCCCTGACACAAAAAGCACACTTCAGAATTCCCAAGTTTATACAAGGTGCAACGTTCTGACAGCACAATGAATTCAAAGAAAAAGAATTTGCTTTTTCTTACATAAATCAGGAGGTGTAGCAGCAACATGAGGCTCATCTGAGCCAGAGGAACCTGCTGTAGAAAAAGCCTTGGGATTTACAACTCTTTTGACTAAGGAATAAAACCCTGGTAGGTAGGTGACCAATCTTGCTCTGTTACAGAGCACCTGAGAAGACAAAAACAAAATAAGTATTACATACTGCTAGCAAAAATACTAGTTTAAGTACAGCTTTATGGATCACAAGAGAAATCATCACTCAATAATTAAATTACAAGCTTAATTATGATCAACGGTGTTTCTGTAAAATCAAGTTTTAAAAGTATTTTGTTATAACTTCTGTATTTTACCAGTAATAGTATTCTAAGTAAAGGAAAAGCCTCAAAAACACTTGTTGAAAGGCCTTCTCATGTGAGGGAAAAAAACTGGAAAGTTAAATAGTACCACTGAAACCCCACAACCTAAACTAAGTTATGGATGAGGACTGTTTCCATCATCATTTCCATGCATGTCATTGTTTCCACGACTGCCACAATTCAACCACAGGACTGATAATCAGAAATACCTAGAAATATCGTTCATTAAGTAAATGCTGATATCCAAGACATTTGCCTTTTAGGCTAGCACAAAGGTTAGCCAGCCTATATTCCTACTTCTTAAAAGACACAAGATAGTATCACTCCAGTTACGTCTCCTAGCTCTCGTCTAGAAGCACGCATGCACATGTGCTTACACATATATTTCTTTGCCAGCAAATTAGACATACGAACAGGGAACTATACAGGGAGATATGCATATCAAAACAGGTAGGTATGGTAATTTCACCTTTCTTTTGCTCTCAAAATCCATAAACATTTAACAGGTGCAAAACTTAAGTTAGTGCAGCCAGTGTTATTTAGATTTGCAAACTCCCCACATTCCCGTATTTACAAACAAGTGTTACTGCAAACAGATCAGTATCACGGGGAAAACGCCAATAAGCCATAAAGCCTTTATGAATTCCGTGGTCTTGGAATACACCAGAAAATCTGCTTCCCACCACAGAGTTGTAATGTCAATACAACTTTCAGTTGCTGAAGATGATTCTATCAGCAGCTGATTCAGCCACACAGCAAACAGAAAGTGATGCAACGCTATATTCCTGAGCGTGCAAATGGGCTCAACAGCAGGGCTCTGAAGAGCTAATGGCTCCTCACCCTGAGGATTAGCTTTGAGGCCAAATGACAGTACCTTAAGTAGTAATATCAGCAACCATTACTGGGGTTTTTTTGTTGGTTTTGTGTTTTGTTTTGATTTTTTTAAAGAAATATCCAGGTGATGTGATTAAACTGAAGCTTGATCTATTTTTTATACTTTAAAAACAGACTGACAACTTTTCTGATGCATTTACACACGTGTAAGAGAAAAATAACCAATCATATACTCAAAACTTAAGTGTAATTTAAAAAAAATTAAAGACTACTTAACTCTAGCACAAAACTACTAATAATCCTGACTACAGCTGCACAAAAGCATGCATTACTGGAAAATATAAATCCCACCTGCCATAGCATGTGTGCTTTTGTAAAACTTTATTTCCCAGGTGAGGGGAAGAAATTCTTTTCAGAAGCTGATATAAAAGGATTTTCCTTAAGTGCTGTGTTCTTGATTCCGTTAAAGTTTGTGCATGTGTACACTGAACATGTATGCAACAAGGTTACTTCAAAAAAGTGGGAAAAATGGTACCATCTGTATGTTTAAGATAAAAACTTGATTCAAAGTATCAGGACCTAAGCCAGTAAGCATCAGTTTCTTACATACCACCTCTGCATAAACATACATCTAATAAGTTCTACCAGCATCATGAAGACTCAAATGCATAAAGGTGCATTTGATTCTTTGACTTCAATCAAGTATTTACAGTTAAGGCCTTAAGCTATCTGGTTCTAAAACACCGCTAGGTTTATAAGGTTCCTGTAACAACAAGTCTGCTGATTCCACTTAAATTTTTTTTTTTTCCCCTCTATTATGTAAAAGCACTATTGAAATTAATTTTTGTATAATGATTACATTACAGATAAAACAGATGTAAACAGTTACAGCTGACATAATTACAAGAAAAGAGCATTTTTTTCTTATCATCAGGATCACTTAACATGGAAATGTTAGCATTAATTACAGATATGTTGACTGAGCTGACTTCTGCAAATATTTACATGCCTAGCGTTACACAAGTGAAAAAATACGGCTGAAATCAGTAAGTTACTCATGTCTCTGTGGCAAGACTAACTCAATAAAGGGCGTTTTATTCTTAGTCTGAAAGTACTCTGGTGAACCTGAGTGTTTCAGCTTAACTCATGACATTAAAAAGCAAACAAACAAAGCAAAGCAAAACAGATCCTATTTAATCCTCAATTGGATTATTGCCACGATATCCACAGAAACTGGCCTCCAAAGCGTAGATGGAAGGACAATAACACCACTGCCTTCTAATAAAAATGTACCTTGGCATGTCTGAGGTTTTTATCAACGACTCCCCCATAAGCACCTTGGCATGTCTGAGGTTTTTATCAAGGACTCCCCCATAAGTACAACGGTTTAAAGACAGCTTTAAAGGGGAAATAAAATGCAAGCGTCCCTCGTGACATGGAGAACTGCTCTCCTTCGACGGCACCGGTTTGCCTTCTCAGCGGGACGAGGCGCAGGGGCGGCCTTACGGCCAGCCCCGTACCGCAGGCCGGCGGAGACCGGGGCCGCTACGGCGGTAAGGCCGGGGAGGCGGATCCGCGCTACTCACGCTGGCCATTGCAGACGGTGGGCTCCCTCTCGCCTACGGGCCCGGCT